AAAAAATACCTAGTTACATGACCCCAAATGACGCGAATCTTGCTTCCGTTTTTCTATATATACTATTATGTTTGAAATAATATAATAATTATGCCAAAATTACATTTACATTCAAATACCTCACGCTTAGCACGATATACGTAGGCTACATGCTTTCCTAGATAGTATTGTGTGTCTTCTTTAGTCAAGACACCTTCAATTCTGATTAATGTCGTATTTGGTGATTGATTGCGTTTCGAACGCTTGAAACCGAGAACGCGGCCTTTAGAATAAAGACTAGCATACGTTTTATTGAAAATGTAAAGGATAGAAGCAACAGAAAAAATAACGATTTTAATTTCGTTTATTTGTTTAAAGTCCAATGTGTCTTAAGATGATACTTACCGAACTGGTTGGCCACCCATTGATATAAAGGAAAGAGAGAAATCTTTTTTTTTTTTTTTTAATTAATCAGATAATCTGCAAATAACGAATTTTCGGGTTGGATCCATCGGATTTAGGCCGGCATTTAAAACCGGGTAAATTCACCACATATCAGATATAGCAATAGCGATAGGGAATTTTTTTAATATATATCCCGGACATAAAGTTTTTAAGCTGGGGGGTCCGGAATTTACTTGACATAACGATAAACATATCTGGAAAAATCGCTGCGGCACTTGCTCTCAAATAGATATTTTCCCGAAGATGACCCATATATGAAGAAAAGTTTCATTGCTCCATTCTGTGTAAAAAAATGCTCCATTTACCAAATTTGGTTGTCAATTTTTACAACTCAAGATAAAAATATATATTCATGACTGGATATGTTTAATTTATTATAATAAAATTGCAAAAACTATGTACAATGAGAAACCGACATGTTAAGAATAAAGATACATTATGACACTATGTCTATAATCATTAAATGAATGTACACTAATCAATCACAGGATCCAGCTTAATTTCAATTTAAAAATATTATAGGTTAAATCAGAAATAATATTAATATCTGCCACGTGGACGTTCTTGTGGCCGAGATAGAGGTCTTGGTGGTCCACCTATAGGACGCTATAAATATTATAAGAGTTAATATTTATTTAAAAAAATTTCTTATATTAATTATAGTCATGACTTACTCGTGAAATATTGTTATTCATATGACCTCGTCCATACGGTCCTTGTCGATCAAAATAAGGTGGAGGTGGTCGATAATCGTTCCTATGATAATAATGATGATATTGATCTTCTCTTCCCCGAACCTAATGAAATTTCATAATATATGTTAGTTAAGTATGAAAACAATTGATCAGAAAGCAAATAAATTTATTAACCATCATGCTGCTTCCCGACATTCCACTTGGACCCGTTGGTGGTGGACCATATATACCATTATTAGGACCATGGTTCATAGGATCATAATGGAATCCGTTAGGCATATGCCGTGATCTCTTATGCAGTGGACCTAGAGGCGGATTTTGTTGATCATTATGACGTTTTATTGTGGGAGGTAATTGTTGATGAAAAGCTGTAATATCAACGTCTTGTCTGCTAAGTAAAGGACCACTTGGATCCAGCCGTTCATGATTTAAAAAACGTCCTAGATCGTTCCGTTCATGACTAGGAAAGCGACACGAATCATTTCGTTCACTGTTCCCATAAAGAAACGTTTCATACCGATCATCAGGATAAGGTCTTGTATCATAACGATCGTCGAAAAAGAGCCTTGAGTCGCGTTCATAAGTCGAATAAAGAAAAGGTTCAAATCGCTCATTGACTGGAAAAAATTTTCTATCTGATCGCTCATGAAAAGGACCAAATTCGTTTCTCTCATGGTTCGAAAAAGCTACAGACTCATTGCGTACTCGATTTGAAAAGGTCATTGATTCAGATCGTTCATATGGTACAGGATTTGAACCTTTTGACTCGTTACTCGTAAATATAGGATTCGAATCTATTTGTTCATTTGTATGATGATATGGAGTTATTAGATTTGTTTCATTTTGCTCTATTAAAATTGTCGACGATCTCGATTCATCTAAAAGTTTTTTTTTTTTTTTTTTTAATTAAATTAATTAATCTACGTGAAGAAAAATTTTAAGGAATTTAATATGTTTGACGTACCTTCTGGCTGTGCTTTTATAGATGTATCATCAGTTTCAACATTGG